AGGTGTAGTATCATGTGCAAATGAGGATGACAACATAAATAGAGAGCAGAGGGTGAACAAAGCAGCATTAGTCAGCGAACCCATTTGCTAAACGTAATGTGGAGAACTGTGCTATGATTAATACTACTCATAGAGAAATACACATCACAACAATAAAAAAAAAACACATTTTGTTCATGTGGTATTTGATCACAATGTCTGGGTGATTAGCTTTGATTGTTCTGTCTGTGTGTGTTTTTCTTTTTTGGTGTGATGCTCTCTTACTCAATAATAATAATAACCAAAAATGTGATACTGGGGTACAAATATACTAAGCTCATTATACTCATCTTGACACCCAGTCTAATAAATGTATATCAAGCACATGCACCACAGCCAAATGTGCACAATATATTGACAGGTTTTGATAAAAACAGTGCATAATCATGCAGGTGGGTTTTAAAAATATCTTCATTTGATAACCCAATCCACTTCAGTGTTCTCCGATTGAGATTGTCCCCATTTATCCTAAGTCACCTTGGCTGCTTCAAACTTAAAAAAAAAAAAATAAACATGACTAAATGCTTAAGGTTTGGCAACTGACAAACAAATCTGTGGTACTGAAAAAAATACTTATTGTAATCCATCTGAATTCACCTAGATTTTATTATTATTATTTTATTAATATTATTAAATTGGGTCCAAGAAAAGGATAAAAGTTATTTATGAAGAACCTAAAAATCAAAAGATAACATATATTATGAGTAAACTCATCCGAAAAGTATACGAAAGTAAACATGAGGGTTGGTGAGGGAAAAGGAATATTCCACTCAACAATTCTCAAATAGAATTTGTAGACACAGTTGACAGAAATAAAACTGAAATTTGCCAATGCAATGTTGAATATATTGGCAGAACTAATCAGAGGTTAGAGTTGAGGATTGAACAGCATGTACCAGTTAAGATATGAAAAGTTTCACACGCTTGTTAATATATCTGGTTCTGTGATTGTAGAACACCTAATAAATAATCCAATTTGCACTTTTTTTTTACCAGATATTTTTTCACATTAGCCAAAATTAATGTTTACAAAAAACTTTTAAATCCAGATGGCTTTAAGAGATTTAATTTTTTGTGAGAAAGTTTGTCAATTAGTAGATTTGACAATTCCAGTATAAGAATGAATCTGAAAGATAATAAAACAAATAAATAAAAATAAAAAATATTAAGACCTTTCAAAATTTGAGAAAAATACATATGATGTTCATGCCTATAAACATTGGAGCACTAAGATTACTGAAAGCAGCTTTTATATTATATTAATTAGAAACACACAACTGTGCAAAATGTGGATATCAATATAAAAAAATTGAATTTCAAAATTTAGATTTTCTGACCAATGATGAAATAAAAAATAATTAGCCAATCAATGATGAATATCGAATTAGATACACTTCTTTTATCTGGTCATTCTCCACAAATACCTAGTTTTCCTCTTGAAAAAATATTTTAAGTAACTGGATGAATCTTTTTAATCATGGAGAAAAAATATTGAAGAAATTTTGTAAGCAATTAGAATTTTCAAACTCAGTTCAAAATGTAATTTTCCATTTAGAATTCAAATCACTACTCAGTGATTTTATTCAAGGTTGGTTTTATATATTGCTTCCATATACCTACAAACATTAACATCACATATCAATATTTATTAATACAACAAATCGACTTTCTCACATAACTACAAAGAGATCTTAATTTCATCTGGTTATATGCACTAACTTCCAGAATACTGTCCAAAAATACCAGGATCATAAAACATCTTTTCCCCAGCAGCCATTTCTGAGCCACTGACACTATAAATCCAACACTGACTTCACCCATGAAAGCAGATCTGACTTAGCTAGCAGTAGTGATGGACCATGTTATACACTAATGCAATTAAATCTCTTTCTGATTCACACTACATGTTGGCTAGAGTTTACTGTGCAGGGGCTCAGGGCATCACAACCTGTTCACAAAACAAATATTTGCAATAAAATACAATAGGCAATCTCTAACATTCTCACTGAAAAAAAGATGACTCTGGGAATCCCTAGATTTGCTTAAAAGAAAGCCCCTTGTAATGAAGGAATGTGGCTGATGGGCCAGCCTTGACATCACTGGGTCCTGATGCCACCAGCAAGATTTCCAGCACTTCAATGTCTTCACTATTCACCTCAGGCCTCCCTTGTCATCACCACTGTGACTCGATTTCGTTAATACCACATTTGACCAGAATCCAATAGAATAATCCACTCAATCAACCTTCACTATCTGCTCCAGGCCTCTCTTGTCATCACCAGTGTGACCCCATTTTGTTGATACCACATTTGACCAGAATCCAATAGAATAATCCACTCAATCAACCTTCACTATCTGCTCCAGGCCTCACTTGTCATCACCAGTGTGACCCCATTTCATTGATACCACATTTGACCAGAATCCAATAAAATAATCCACTCAATCAACCTTCACTATCTGCTCCAGGCCTCTCTTGTCATCACCAGTGACCCCATTTCGTTGATACCACATTTGACCAGAATCCAATAGAATAATCCACTCAATCAACATTCACTATCTGCTCCAGGCCTCTCTTTTCATCACCACTGTGACTCCGTTTTGTTGATCTCCAATTTGACCAGAATCCAACAGAGACCTTCTGCTCGATCAACGTTCACAATCTACACCTAATCCCTTGTTGCCATACTACAAATCAACACACCACTGTGACCTCAATTAGTCAACCTACCAATCCACCTTACCTGGTAGTTTGGCTTCAACATCTCAGTATCACATGACTGCCAGCCTATCAAACATCTCACAGATGCCAATTTCAATTTTAAAGAAAGGTGTGCATCAAATCCAACCAATGGCTAATCCACTCTGGCCCTGTCCTCTGACCCCAAACTGAAATCTCAGCCAAACAACCCAAGAAATCAATCAACTTCCAGCCCTACTGACAACACTCTTACACCCAACTGTTTTACTTACCAACAGCAACTGAAGAGCCACACATGAACAATTTTGCCAAATTTCAAACAACTATGTATATATTCTGAATTTTAACGAATACACGCTGTTAAAAATGTAATCCTTGTTTGTTCCTTTCCTTTGCAACCAAACACTTGTTATAACACTGCAGAGCAGGCCAGCTTAACCAGGCCATTAGCAGTGACACTAAGGTATTACCATCAACAAAGATGCCTTTGGCCAGCAACAAAACCAGCAGTGGCTCTCAACTACTATAATGCAATAATGCATGTTGATTTTCTTCACATGTCTGTCTAGACTACTACCTTGAATGAACTTTTATTCTTCCATGACTGATATATAATACCCCAGAATAAACAAATGATTGTAATGTATAAGTCACAGAGAATAAAAACAGTTTTACTTATCTCAACCACACCTCATCTCCATTTGTTGCTTTGTCACTTATTAACAGTAAGAAACAGTTACAAACACTATAAGAAGCTATTTATCTACTAATAAAAGTATACATGTCCAAATTATGCCATGGAAAGTTGAAGGGGTAAAGATTTGAGCAAACAATAAATTTTTTTATGATTCCCTATGTAATATATTGTCTCCTATTTATACTAAAGTTTAAAGTGAGTATTCAACATAAGGATGTATGCAAATATTTAACAGAAAAATGTTAAGTTCTGTTTGAAAGTGTGTTAAATTTCTAATGACTTAACTATAAAACCGTCTAAAAACTGAAATTTTGCAGATTAATAATTTGATTTCTGTGTAAAATTTTATCTTTCTGAGTAAATTATAAATTAATTACATTTTAAACTGGTATCCAATCACTAGGGATATCATATTTTATTAATTATTTTCAATAAAAAAAAGGTTTTATTTTATGTTATGTTGTGTATTTCTCTCTGAGTATTATCAATCGTAGCACAGTTCTCCACATTACATTTAGCAAACGGGTTCACTGATGATTGCCCTTTGCTCACCCTCTGCTCTCTATTTATGTTGTCATTCTCATTTGCTTATGATACTACAATCTGAAATTGATTCATTAATAGAATATGTTCTAATAATAATATGTCCACTATAATTTGAAACTAATTTATTCATTTAACTAATCTTAATTTATATAGATTTTTAAAGTTTTTCTTCACAATGCCATACAGACAATAAGCAGAACACTTTGTCATAGAATTTTCCATACTTAAAAAAAGATTCTTGTTGAAATATAAATAAAAATAAATAAAGTCATTTTTCTCTTTGATATTAATTTTATCCACCAATTTATAACTGTTCTGAATATTTAAAATCTAACAAATTTAACAAGACTCTCTAAAAAGAGATTGGATTAATTTAGAGCTTATAATACAAATTGAGACAGGCTTCAAGAGCAGGAGTCTGTTGAAATAGTGTGTTGAGGAGACTGGCTGTTATATTTAACAGCCCCCGCCACGAGTGATGTATGTGGCACAAGGCCGAGTTTACCGTGGGTTTTCCGAGCCATAGCTCGACCAAAAATATTCCCTTAGAACCCGTATAAACGGGTTAGGGCCTGTCTACCTCCCCAGACGAAACTTTGCCCTTCGGCAAAGCCTTGTCCGAGTTCCATTCTGCTCAAGGCAAAGAGTTTAATAGTTTACGAACAATCTGAACGAAGTTCCATGAGGAGACTAACTGGGTCATCTGATTTCCAGTATTTGAAGGTATAATTTAAAAAACAAATAGATATCTTTTTTTTTATTATTATTAAATTCGACACAAATTCTTCCTGAAGTATAAAGGCTTAATTTGTGCTGCTATAAACCTGTAGAGATATTTTCCCATTAGTACATAAATGGATAAATAAATCTTAAAAACATGTTCATTTGGAGTTCGCTCAATTTTTTCTAAAGTTTTTTTTGAGTCAGCAGTTGAACATAATAGAACGTCATTTCCGGTCCACGAGGTACCAAGTTGAACATTTCTTTCATATTTCGTTTCATTGACGAAAAACAGTGAAGATGGTTGTGCCTAAAATTGTGTATGTATTTATTTGTACTTATCCGTTTGATTTTAAAATCTACTTCCCAATTTTGTAAACACATTCTTAACGCAGTGATTGATTTATTATACCGTAAATTTTCTTTGGAAGTTTTTGAGCTGTCTCCAATGATAAAAAAAAAATATCAAAAAATGATTTATTTTTAACTTTTAAGATAAAGATACGTTTTTAAAATCACCTACACCCAATCTTGAAAAGTGAAAATGATTCTGAATGTACACAAAACAAAATTTAAGAATCAATTTGTAATTTTAATTTATTTTACAAAAACAAACAAAAACGTGTTTTTAAACTAATTGTTGGTGTCGGTCTCTCATAATTTAACTGTTCAGTGCTACATGATTATTAAAAAAAAAAAAGAAAAGAAAAAAAAAGTTGATTATATTCAGAATACGAAATGCTCAAATACTTTGGTTTAACTTTTTAAAAAAAAATAATAATCAGGAAGAGAAACGTTTGTTACAATATAACACAAGGGAGACTACTCGAATGCGTAAAAGGGAGATAAGTTTCTGCTTTCTGTTAACGAATCAAGACGAATATTGAGTAAAAAAAAATGAAATTTTTAAATCTCTCTCTCTCACTCACTCACACACACACAATATCCAATTCTAAATATAACTTTAGAACACGTTACGCCTGATTTTTAAAATAATATCTGAGAAAGAAGAGTGAAAGTTATACATTTTAATAAAAGTTTGAAGGAATTTAAAGAAGAAGCAATTTTTGGTTTGATATGTTTACCAAATTTCATGGTCAACAAATCCAATATTCATATTTGAACACGTGATATAAATTCATGCAAAAGTTCAGTCTTATTTTACTCACAACCTGAAATATTTTAAAACTATAAGCTAAAACAGAATTTGGCTTCACTTATGCATGTGATGTCCTGTATAATTTTATTAAGTTCATATGTCATAAAATATAAAAAATATTTTTATGATTCAAATTTTTTTTCTTCATGAGCATCTGTTTTGTTTATTATTTTCTTCAAAAGGACATGTAATGGTTTAGAGTTTCTTTTTTTAATTTTTCATTAGATGTTTAAAATAAATTACTTTGTGCCAAATTATTGCCAAAGATATGAAAATTTATTTATCACATTGACCATGGGATAGTCTGGGCTCAGTAGCCATGGTTGGCAACCAGACTAGGAGAAGGGTAACTTTGAATTCAAATCCAGAGCCGGAGTCCCAAAGAAATTCTGATATCATGTTCAATTTCATTCTGGCAATTTTTGTGATGATGCCGGTTCCAAGCTGTATTGGCCTTTGCCTTTCCTTTGGACAACATTGGTGACATGGAAAAAGGAGACATGCTGCATGGGCAATTGCCGATCTCTCATAAAAAAAAAAAACTCTGTCCAGGCCTGTGCCTTGGAGAAGGCATAACTCTTTTGGCACAGATCCATGGTGTCCCTTGAGACTGATGCATGCCATACAATGGATTTTTAAAAATCTAACATTATTTCTTATTCCTATGAACATTGTTTAGTAGGTACATGTGTTGGAGGAGACATCCTTGTTTTTTTTGTTTAAACAGTGAAATTAATTTCTACCAGGCTAGAGATCAAAAGTTTTAATATAGAAATTATGCTTTTCAACAAGAATCAAATCTGTATTCCCTTTTTATACCTGGGAAAACACTCAATATTATGTTTCTAGTAATAAGAAATTATGTTTGATTTAAAATCTATTAATTATTTAAAAATCAATGTTTGTTGCAACTATAAGAGTAAGGTAAGTAGGGTAATTGCACCTTGCTTTGCTGTAATGACTTTTTGTGGCTTAAAGGTAAAGCATGCTTAGCTTAAAAGTTGCTCAAACCAGGCTCATATACAATATCACCAATCATTGCAAAAGCTTCAGTTGCACAATGTGATATATAAACTAAAAGAAAAAACAATCGGATCTATTTGAAGTGGGCTAATTTCAAATTGAGCATATGTTAACAGCTTCAGTGCAGTAAAGACAAAATTTTTTGGCCATAATATTTGATAAGGATATTTATTATCACTTCCTTAAAATTCTAATGCAGTTTCCTTACATATGAATTTGTCTCTCTCATTCTGATCTGAAGATGCCTACCATAAAGAGGCAAAATAGATTGTCTGCATAGCTTTTTCACTTTCTCATCATCTTGACTTTTGTTCAGATATTAGCTCTACATCCTACTAATGTTAAAACATTTTTGGTTTCTTTTGAATTTATATTAACTCCTCGAAACAGTTCTATTAATATCATATGTGTTAATTACGTAATCTTAGAAAAGATACTTGCTGATTATTACAATACAGAGAGATAAAAGCCATTTCAAAACAATTTTGTCAGCCATATCTTTATTGTAGTATTATTGCAATCAGTCTAAATATTTTAAACTTTGATTAACTATAATTGTTAATTATTTTTGTTTTCTTTCCAGACCACCAAAGACAAGCAAAGGGAAAAGAGCCCTAGAGAAAAGGGAACCAAAAATCTTTGAAAATCCCAAGGTTGCTATGCTTATTAAAGGTGGTAATACAAGCCAAATAGTCACAGAAGCTTTAAGGGATGTGGTAAGTTTTATTTCATTTTTATCTGTAAGTTTCCATTTTGACTAAAACATGATTGTTGTTCAAAATTATTACTTGGGCAAAAGGAAAAATGCAACCTTAACACTACAATTTTTTTTGCCTTATCAAGGGAATATTTTAAGTTTTTTAATAAAGCAACATATAAAGACATGTTTATAGTTAAATTCTTTATTTTGAAAAATGTATAAACAATTTAAAAGCAGTTGAGGTGTTTTTGTTTCTCAACAAAATACTTGATTAAAAAAAATAATTTAAGTATATTTGAATTAAAATGTTTTATGGAAGAAAAATTACTCCTTTTGTTTAAGATTGATTCAATTTTCAAAAGTAGAGAAGTTTTAAAAATGCTTTTGTCAAAATGATTTTTATCGGATTCACTGTGTATAAACCATTATAGCAATAAAGTAAGTTTTCTAGGTGATTTTTATTTTCTATGTTTGTTTGGTTATAGCTTTTTTTGTCAAGGGAAACAGATTCATTTTCCATGGTTGCATTATTAACCTAAGCAAAGAAGTAATAAATATTTTATAATTTATATTCATTATAAGCAGACTAGCCAATTGTAAACTCTGCAATAGTCAAAGAATGAAAATATCTAGTTTTATTTCTTTGTTGCTCTCTTTAATGTGTTAAAACAACTTATTTACCATGTATGATAAAAAATTATTTATTTTTACCCAGGAATGCAATAGGCTAGCATTAATTGTTACTTGAAAGAAAAAAGTATTTATCATATATCTGCCATTTGCCCTTGCTTTAGAATTGTAATGATCATCATTCATAGTGCAAAAAAAAATGATTGAATTCGAGAACAGTAGGGAGTGTAATGGTTTAAAATGCAGGAAATAGAATCAGCAAGCAGTTTTCAAATGCCCTGTCAATGCATTTACTTGGGAAATGCATAATCATATCTCTTCTCTCTTTAGCTATGAGCTAAATAGCAGAGCAAACTGGGCTGTCTAGCCTTGGTTAGCAGCTAGCCTAGAAGATCAAAATTGTGGGGAAAGTAATGATAAAGAACTCTCTTTCTCAAGAAATCATGGCAATCCACATTATGATTATGAAAGTGAATTTATACGTTTCTTTGTTTTTGATAATTTACAACAAAAATAATAAACACTATTTATTTATTAAATTGTTTCTTTACATTATTTATTATATTATTTATTGGAATGGTTGGTAAAACATTGGGTAATTGCCAATTGATTCAAACTTTATAAAATGGTAAATAACAAGGATTTCCTTTATAGTTGGTTCACATATTTTAATAATCTAGTAAATATTTATAAATTTATTAATGAAAAATTGTTTATTTCTTTATAAATTGGTAAATGATAAATATTACATTGCAGTAGTTCTAATTGTAATATAAAATTATTTTTGTAAATAAACAATCTAATAAATAGTGTTTTAAATTTTTTTTTTAAATTCTCAAGAACAAAATAATGTATAAATTCACTTTTATCATGTGTCTAGGTTTTACTCCAATTCTAATCATCACTTTTTAAAACGATAAACATTGCCAAAGAGTGAATATAGTTAAAAATGGGTTGTCATGGGAAAACCCACCCTTTTGACACTACATCTTATAATGGATAAGTTTATCCATGTTTGCCATTATTTTCTGCATAGAAGAAGTATTGTTAAATTGCATTTTAAATTTGTATATATGATGTTTTTGTGTCAGCCACAAATATATTTAAGTGAAAATTGAAAATGAATGACTGCAATAATTAACTTATTTCCAAATAGTGCTGTATAAAATATAAAATGCATTTGTTTTTCTATAAAAAAAATACTCTTAAAATTGGACAATTCTGACACTTTTCGGGAGCCTCTTTTTAATTATCTTTAGAGAGGCAAAGAACTTACATGTGCATCCTTGAATTTCTATTACAAAATATATGACAGTAATGGCAGAAAAACTGAATTCAGGCAAGCATGCACTTAATATGAGCATACATGGAGTGACTTGATAGGTTGGTGTAGCATGATACAACTTTTCAAATAACTATTGCATTGTAGTGTCATTATCAAGGTGAGGACCTGCTATCTTCAGAAGCAGATCAAGTTACTGTTGGATCAAGTATATGTAAAATTCCAAACTTGCAATGCAACCAGGTCACATCACTGATGACTTGCTTTGATGTATTTTTTCATTTCAATTTCTAATTTATTTTTGTCTTGTTTTTCTTTATCAAAAATATTGAAAAACAGAGTGGCGGGGACATATATATAATAAAAATCACTTTGTGGGTCTATATTCTGTATGATTTTATTCTTGCATTAAGTCATTTTTAGCTGTCATAATACTTTAAGCATTCTAGTCATTTTCCTGATACAATAAACAAAATAAAGAAACAGGCAAAGTTAAACTATAGATAATTAAAATTAGGTACCTCCATGAAAATGCAAAAAAAATCAGCATATCATAATGAAAACATGTTCCAAATGTAATGAAAACATAGTTTTATTGTCAAAATCTTTGTTATTATTAAGAGGGAGGATCAAAGTATTTTTTAATATTTAATTAAATTTTTTACTCCTTTTTAGAACATTCAAAATTTTGATTAAAAAAACTTGTTTTTCTTGAATCAGTGGTTATACTAACTTTTGGCCTCTTTTTTGCAGTGAGAGATATATTGAAAATTTTTGCAAAAATCAAATAATTGTCGGATTTTAATGAAATTTTCAAGACTTATTCACAAATGAATTAAATTATTTTTGAAATCTTTTTTACATGTGTTTCAGCTCTTTAATTTTATGAAAATTTGAGAAATTCAATGAGATAATTTTTACTGACTATATTAGTTAAAAGCAGAATTCTCTGAAGAATTTAAATCACCAAATTTTTTTCAAAATCGGACCCGGTCTTACCGAAAATTTGTTCTGAATTGAAAAATATAAAATGCAATAAAACTAAGACATTACTTGATTAGAGAAGCTTTTAATTGCTTTTATGAATAATATATATTAAAGACAAAATATTGTCTAAAGAAGAAAGATTTTTTAAACAAAAAATGAATTTTTACAAGATTTTTTTTTTTTCTTTTTTTCTTACAATTTTAAATTGAATAATTTATAAAGTTTTCAAATCTTTTAAAATTCAGTTTAAATGTGATAATTCTTAGCAAATATTGCTATTAAGTAAAACTATATTTGCTAATCATATATTGTAAAGCTTATTACAATCTGATGATGCTGAATATTTTTAAAAGAATTTCGATTTCTTTTTGTAAGTGTGATTACATGCAGAATTTCTGAAGTATGGATGTAGAAACTGATAAATCTAAATTTTATCATCTGCTCCACCATACTTAACTATGAACACATTCAGCTGTATAGCAACTGTTAATAAATTTGTCAGAAAAACAAGACTCTCTAGTTAAAAAATGTTTATATATAACATTTTATGCTATAATTAATATTTGTTTCACATCAGATTAATTTAATATTAAATTTGCTAATTTTCCTCAAATAACATTTCAGAAATATTTTATTTTTGCAAGAATTTTAAAACCAAGAATTAACTTTTGTTTACAATTTTGTCAAAAATGGCTGTTTTGATTGATTTTACTGAAAAAAAGAAAACTGATTCCAATCAATATATAATTCTGTTTGAAATACACCACAGAGTATTTTGCTTACTAAAAATAGTAAATTTTAAATCCTTTAGCTTTCAATTAAAGCTAAAATGAAAGCTTGAAGAAAGCTATTCAGATTTAAAAATTCATTTTAAAGTTTATGTATACCAAATTAGTGGAGGTACCTAATTAAAATTCATGTTTATATTTAAAATTTTGGTTATTCTAAATTCATATTATTGACATTTTGTGTATTCAAGGAAAAAAATCTTTTTTTTATAGGGCATGTTAAAGAAGCCCCATGCAATCTCATATAAAAAGTAAGTAAATTTGAATTTTGTGTGTGTATTCATGAACATATTTGTGTTTTCGAAAATTATGTTGACATTTGTATTTAATTTTTCATTTCTTTTCAAATATAAAATTAGAAACTAATTATTCAATTCAAATAAACAAACTGTCTTTATGATGGAATCAGCCAGAGACATGGTGGTCTTTAAGGCCAAGCCATAGTGCAGGTCAAGGCCAGAACTGGAGGCCTATCCCCAATCTCATTCAAATGGGAGCAAAGATTTTTAATTTTAGTTTAGGTTTGTAGTAGTTTACTGCTGTAGTCAGTTTAAGTAATTCAAAGAAAAAGGTAGAGATTAAAAGCATAATTAATTTTGCTCAAAAAGTTAATCTTCTTTATCTTAGCATATTTTTTCTTTACTAAAGTCTTATTACAATTAATATATAATTTGGCAGAACTCCAGATCTATCACTTCACACCCAATGAAACATAGTATGAAACATATGCATTTTAATCTTTGAATTATCCACTTTAAAACTGTTTTAATGAAACAAGATCATATTGGAGCTATGAATTTTGGAACAAAAATATGATCTGAAACAATTTAAACATCAAAGTAATTTTATTTATTGTTTAGAAATAAAGTAACTATTGTTATACTGAAATATTTTGTCATAAATATACTCTTTTATGCTTACCCTGAAAAAATAACTCTTAAAAAAATGTGTGGTTTAGCAGCAGGCTCAGTCTTAATGTTTCAAACACCTCATTTACAATATCTAAAAATATCAGATTAAACTTTAATTTAATTATGACATTAATTTTACATAACAACATTCTTAGTGATTTTCTTTAATTTTGTAGTATAAAATATTTTGTTTACAGCCTATTTTATGTTTTCTAATGATAAACTTAAATTCAACATACTTTTTTAAAATACCTATTAGAAAGAAAAACATAAATTACTCATAAAAAAATTAATTTTTATCATCACTATATTTGTTGTTATGGATAACAATAGTGAAAAATATTAAATTAACTTTAACAATAGCAAATCTATATATTTTGAACATTTTTTATTTTGATTTGTACAGTTTTATTTGGTTGTGCGCTTAAAATACTGAATTATATAATTTTTTTTCTTTCAGGAAAAATATTGTCAGACCATTTGAAAGTGAACATTCTATGGTAATTATATACATATATATGGCTATCTTAGAAAACGTTTATTATCTAAATATTCACTTACATAATGTTATTGATTAAATTTGTATGCATTATTATTCAAACATTGAAGCTAGTTCAGCAATGTTTAACCTTCATGTCTAGAAAAAAAAATTATCTCAAAGCAATAAGGAAAACCTTTTACACCACTATTATTTTAATGACCTTCACTCCTCAGCAATATTTATTGTTTTAAAAAGTGATGATTAGAATTTTAATAAAACTCAAATAAAGCTGCATGGGATGGCGTACACACAGTCTTTAGTCATGTTCTCCTCTATGGGGGGGTCTTACTTGGGAGTGATATCTACGAAGTGTCGTGCAGCTTTTGAAGGTTGTCCTGATATTATATGGACCACAGATCCTTTATATTTTCTCTGATAACCACTTCACATAAGGCAGGCAGACTGTTTTCTGAGTGTTGTTGTCCTCCTCCTCTTGTACCCTCCTATCCCAGTTTTTTGGGGCTGCTGCCATGTACCCAGGGTAATTGTTACGTTGTAGGGTACTACTTATACTGACCAATTCTTTATCTAATGTCTCTGGGTCGCCACTTATGACTTTTGCTTGGTGTTGTAAGCAGCGGACGATCCCTTTCTTTATGCTGTATGGATGGTGGTAGTTGAAATTGAGGTACTGTCCGGTGAATGTCGGTTTACGGTATACAGATGTCTTGAACCCATGCTCTGTTCGAGATATTAGAACATCCAGCAATGGAAATGTGTTGTTACTCTCTTTCTCCATTGTGAACTGTATTGAAGGTCTTATTGAATTCACATGGTCCCGTAGAACCTGAATATCTTCCTGGTGTGGCCAGAGTATGAAGGTGTCATCTACGTACCTTAACCATAGAGTTGGCTTTAGAGATATAGATTCTAATGCCATTTCCTCAAAGTATTCCATATATATATTCGCCATTGCTGGTGATAATGGCGAGCCCATTGCTAAGCCTGTCAATATATGTGTGATCCCATTCCAAAGTGTGTTGTGTACAGAAAGTCAACATCTCCATCAGATTATCTATTGGAATACTGGTCCGTTCTTCTAGGGATGAGTCAGAGGCCAATCTGTCTCCGACTACTGAGAGTGCCTCCTCCATGGGTACCTTAGTGAACAAACTCACCACATCCAAGCTCACCATCTGGTTGGATAGGATGGTAGCATCTTTGATTATTTCCACAAAGTGGGCGGAGTTTTGGACATATGAAGGAGGCTTTCTGATCAATGGGTCAATTATATCTACAAGGAAGGGACTCGGAGGGTGGTATACAGAGCCTTGGTAACTAACAATCGGCCTGAGTGGAATACCATCTTTGTGAATCTTAGGGAGAACGTATATGTGAGGTTGCTTGGTGTAACGCTGTGATAACTGCCTATACGTCATAGGTGCAAAGTGATCCTTGCTCTTGATTAGTATCTGTGACAGTTTGCATTCCATTTTCATTGTAGGATTCTTTTTTACTTTGCTATAACTACCATTGCTAATGAGGTCTTCCAGCTTTCTTGTATAATCTGATTTGTCCATCACTACAGTCGCATTGCCTTTGTCAGCCAGTAGTATGATGATACTTTCGTTCCCCTATAGGGATCTGATTGCCAGCCTATCCAGTTTTGTTATGTTAGACCTGGGCGGCTTGTCCTTCTCCAAGGTCTGTCTCTCCTTCCATTTCAGTTCATCCACCTGAGCCTGAGGGATGTTCAAGGCCACCTACTTGACTGGCAATGATGTTCAACACCAGAACATCAGAAAGCTGTAACATGAGAAGTGGAAAAATCAGGTGTGGCTGACCACATATGAAGAGAGAAGGGAGATCATTGCCCTCTGTGGAATCAGGTTGAGATCATAGATAAAGAACACCATTGGAAAACTCGTCAACATAAGGAATCAGCACATATGCTAGGCCACAAAAATCTCCTGAGTCAACCAAGCATAGAAATGAATACAATATGGGAACCAGTAATGAGTGCCAGAGAAAAGTGATAATAACAACAAAAATTGCAATATGAGCTCTGGTAAAAACATGCAATGATAAGAGCAAAAATTGCAATATGAGCAAAAAAATAGTTGCTGAAGACATTAGGTTTATAATACCCAGAAATTCATACACAGATGTCCTCAGAGCCAGATGGCACAGTGGATAAAGGCATTAGTTAAATCCAATGACAGGACCCAAAGAGTGTGTGTTCAATACCCGGCTAAGGCAGTGGAGAACTTTCAGAGGGAAATTAATAGGAGATAACTGATAACTGACATCCATTAAACGTGGAACTAGAACAGTCTGAGCGAAATAAAGGGTTCAGTTCTACATTCCAACCACCTGAAGAAGGCTGGAGCATACAATGGCCAAAATGTAATAAATATGGTGACAAAGATGAGGAATAATGTAAATAATACATAATACCTCATCTCAGAAATATAGACATTTACTAAATTATAAAAATATTTGAACCAACTATAAAGAAATCCTTGTTTACCATTTTAAGTTCAAATTATTAGTTCAGCCAATATTTTGCCAACCATTCCAATAAACAATCTCGTAAATAAATGCTTAATATTTTTGTTGTAAATTCTCAAGAACAAAGAAAATGTATAAAGTTTTATTACAATTCTAATCATCACTTTTTAAAAGAAACATTTCCAAGGAGTGAAGGTAGTTAAAATAGTAGTGTGTCTTTTGACACACCATTTTTCATGGACATGAGGTTAAACATTGTTTCAATTTTTTCATCTAATATTCAGATTAGTTATATATTATTGGTCAAATTTGTATGCATTATTCAAACATTAAAGCTAGTTCTTTACACTTAGTTCTGGGTATGATGATAAACTACACCCGGCAACAAGGCCTCTGATCAGGAGATTGAAGCTTTTGAGGAGCATGGAACCACCTCTTAATTGCTGTTGTTCCCAGGTCCATTCTGACCTGGGGTGGTAGTACCTGTTAGGGTCCCAACTATGGGCAAATAGTGACTCTCCAAACAAAAACAATATTATGAAAATGTAGGAGTACATTTTTGTGGTAAATATACCAGCAATACATTTTTATAACAATATGACCAGCAATATATATTATCTGTAGTTAAAGCTGTAAAATTGTGTTCAAAATATTTAGAACCTATAGAAGTTGATATGCTGCCAATCAAAAGTTCTTGTAGATAATCAATATATAACTAACAAAGGATCATTACTGAATTTGGTACCTTCATACTTAATGTCTTAAAGCTTGTCTCAGTCATAAAGTTGCTTGCATGATATTAAGCAGTGAGGAAAAGGAGTTGAGAATAAATTATGTCTGTTAATGTTAGCCAAATGAATTGTCCAATGTCATATGATGTAAATGATAATAATTAAGATAAAAATCAAACATCGCCAAAATAAAGATAATTCCTCTGGTAAAAAGAAACTGTAAGAAATCATATCAGATGTTTTTCGCTTTTTCTGGCTCCTCATTTCCTTTCTTTCATTATTTTTGCAAAAACAGATCTAGTTATTTTATTTTCTTTTTCTTGAAAATTTTCATTTAACATTTCTTTTTCATAAGATATATGCCCTCAACTTGTCATTAATTTAAAAATATTTTTATGGAAGTCAATCACAAAACATTCTCCTTCTTTCTCCACCATTTTATTGAATTACCTTTGTTATGTATTATTCAAACATTCTGAAACTGATAAAGACCACAAAAGATGGAATTTACTTAAGAGAGCATAAATGCGTGTCCGTCCAACATGACAGTTGTTTGTCACTGCCGGTTTATTATTAGGTACCATGAAAAGATGCCCCCTAGGGATAAAGGACAGATAACCCGACATGTTGGGTCACTTAAGACAAAGGGCACAACTCCTCATCTTGGTCCAATCTATAACAATCTCTAAAAATAAAATTATTTAAAATTTCTCTTTATTGTATCAACATTGCATATACTCTATTGGAATTATATTCTAAATTACCTACTCTACATTTGAATGAAATAAAGAGAAAAAAAACAAATGAGAAAGAAAATCAATCTCTTAATGAAAATGCAATATCTATTTAATGAACAATAATATAAATTAAAATACAGGATTAAATAACTGTTTAAAATAACCTAACATTTTCTATCAAAATTTTATTGATTAACTTGTGTGTTTTTTGTTTTGTTTTTTTTTTCTCAAACTTTTTGTAATTTTTTTTTCCAGGAATTTTTCTCAGACCGTTCTGATGCTGCTTTATTCTTGTTTGGGTCTCACTCAAAGAAAAGACCTCATAATCTTGTCATTGGTAAGTTCACAGTATATATATTTTTTTTAGAATAGTTAAGACTAACATGAACAATATAATAGCAATATTCTGTCACTGGCATCAATTCCTGACCATTGTCATTTTTTCATATCCAGTGCACAATATACTAATAAAATGCTGAACTGTTAATTCTTTTCCTGACTGTCTATTTAGTTTGTTAGTAAAAAAACAAAAAAAAATGACTAAAGCAAAGTGAAAGACTAGTAGTGGTAAAATTAGTAGTTACTGATAAAAACTCAAGCCTTGCTTGTTTATATCAAGTTCAAATACTGATTACATTAAAAATACAATTGTAGTTAATGTTACATTTACTCCCCCCAGCTATAGGTTAAATTGTAGGACTTGTATCTGGAAATATTGTTGTTTTCAAAAATTGCTAATGCTGTATGCACATGCAAAAATGAATTATTCCTACTATTCACAATCTGTTTTCAGCTTTAAAATAAACCCTAAAGGGTTTATAAAATTGTAAAAAAAAAAAAAAAAATGAAAAATGTGTGTGCATTTTCAGTTATAAAATCTATTTGTGTTTTTCTCATTGATTCATCAATGATCTGAATATTCAGTATTATTACACATCATTGTGCTACAATTATTTGCAAAGATTAAAACATAAGCACAATAGAAAAGAAGTTAGTCTTAATTTTACAGAGACCAAACAATGGACGTGAATACAGTTGGGCAGCTGTCATGATACATAATATTTATCACTAACAAAAATGCATAGACAATGGTGACAATTATATAGAAAATAGTGTTTCATAGTCTGCTCTATCCAATGGTGTCATTATGCTCTCTGTATCTTATATTTTCTATAGAAATAAATGTAGAGTATTACTTTTGGAGCATCTTTGAGAAATGTCAATGTACCAAAAAGCCTAATTGTACATTGAAAACTCAGTTACTCCAAACTGATGTAATTCCTTTTGTTCAATTTTATAAACAGACTTACAGCCACATCCCATTGAAACACCAGTTCCTGTACAATCACCAAAGTTAAGTAATGTTAATCCTGGTCAGTACCTAGATAGATGACTGCTTGGGAATACCAGGTGCTGTAATAGATAATGACTTGGAATTGTTACTCAGAGAGCCAAATTCCAATTCCTGTTAGGTTTGTTTTATTTACTTACATACAAATATCCTTTAGAATGATATGAATCCATCTTTTCTCCTCCCCAGCTATGGGTTAATTAATAAGACTTGTATTACTAAACCATTATTATCTCAAAAAAAAATTCTTACAATCTAAAAATATTTTCTAGCTTTAAATAACCTGAAATGGGTTGATAAGCCATAGAAAAAAAATTACTCAAATTTTTATAAGTTCTTCTGTAATTTTCAGAATTTTGAAAGCTGAAACTTATTTTTTGATTGTGCAATATTTTAGTTCAATTTTCCTGATTTTCTTTCTTCATTGTATTTTTTTTTTGTTCTTGCTTTTTTAGGTCGAATGTTTGACCACCATGTAATGGACATGATTGAATTAGGAATTCTTGATTTCAAATCTATTGCAGAACATGTTGTAAGTATATCTTCTAAAGAATTCTTATGTTTATTTTTAAAAAATAAATAAAAGCACAATATGTACCAAGTACCACTCTTTATCAAAATATTTATTATAACATTCCAAAATGAATTTTGGACAATTTCTGATAGAATTTCCTCCTTGTCTAAGAAGGATTATTTGTAATTTGGAAGAGTTGATCATTAAGATTAATCTATACAAAATGTCTGTTGTTTTTAATAATATTTGCCATAAAGAACATATATTTTGTGTATGATGGCTACTGTTTAAATTTTTGCCAAAGCAGTTTGAAAAGAGAGTGACTCTCAAGTTTAAGGAGATACAAATTAGGTAGTAGTTTAATGTGTGGTCTTTGACAAGATGCTATATTTTATGTGAACATTTTTTTTTTTTTTTTTTGTAGGGTACAAAAGTTGCAGCTGAAACTAAACCTTGTTTGCTTTTTGCCGGAGAATCTTTTGAGAAAGAAGCAGAATATAAACGCTTAAAGAATGTCTTCATTGGTATTAACTTTATTATTTATCTGTGTATTAAGTATTGGTATGAGTGTATGTATGACACACACACAGTGCCATGCAGAGGTCTGGTAGCGCCCAAGGTGAGGGTTGTGACTGGCGTCCCCTACCCCCACCCCACCACAAACAAAACTGCAACCGTATACTTAGTTTATTTTCTATTGGACAGATCCATTGTTCACAAAGGTTTATCACAATCAGAGGAATGTTTAAATAAAAAACATTAACACATTATACAAATTTGAAAAATTTTATTTATAGATAAGGTTGGCAAAGGACTTTGTGAAACATTTCTTAACCGTATTTTATTGTTTTAACACTAAAACTACTGAAAGTTGAACATACAGATTAAAAAATATTCGAATAATTGACAGTTGATAAAAAATAAATGGCAAACAATTTCAACGGTAGTAGTTAGATAAAATTTTGCATAAATATTTCTTGTCTAGTATTTATTCTGCAAAATTTTTTGAGAAAGTTTTTTTGTGAATTTGTGAAATATGGCAACAAAAAAGAAACAATATTGTGTTCTCAAAATATAAGTTGAAAGATTAATGACTAAAAATCAAATATTTTCTATTAAAAGTTTCATACTTAGATTAATGTATAAACAAATAAAGTTGACTTATTTTAGTGGTGGATATTGCCTTATAGATATTCTGAGGTCTTGTTTTCTGTTTTCCTTTGTATGAGTACACCTAACTTTGTGAGAAGTTAGAACAACAAGGATTTAAAACAAGTCACCATCTTCTTTACATGAAATGGCCACCACATTAACATCCCAAATTTACATGATGATTGCATAATTATGCATACTATCAAAGAAATTCCACATTTTTATTCTAATTATAAAGATTTGGCCGTTTATTGCTATATTGGTGGTACTGTCAATAAAATATACTTAATAGTAGTTTATATTTTTACTGTACAAAGAAAAACAAGATATACATAATAATAATAATAAGCTCAACTTTAATGTGATATTTGATGCTGTATCTTATTTGCCATTTGGTTTAGAAGTTCATAAATATAAATTTAATGAAAGAGGTTCATTTGTACTATAGGGACCATTGGATTTACTCACACATTTTGCTTAGTATTTGCCCAAAAGTTGGATAAAATTGATTCTTGGTGCGAAATGGTATTTTTATATATAAAATATATTTTCTGTTTATACGTTATTTTAGTAGATACAACTTATTTAAGTAAATACTTTGTTTTTTAATTAAATAGTATTAATTACATTTACTGGTCTAAGTGGTATAGCATGTCAGGTCAAATGATGGTTCTTTAAAGGACACAGGTTTGATTCCTGTTGGAGAATGCATATTTTCTACACAATTTCTCAAACATTTAGACAGGTAAATGTAATTAATACTGTTTAATTAAAAGATGAGCATTTGCTTAAATAAATTGTATCTATTAAAATAATGTATAAACAGAAAATATGTTAAATGTTGAACTTAGTCCATGTTATAATACACACATACGCACAAATATGTGTGTATGTATATATATATATATATATATATATATATATATATATATAAGCATGTGCAGCTTAATTTTGTCATAAAGAAACAATTTATACAAAGAATTAAATAACAATGTTAATGCAATTAATGGCAAAACCACTTTGCTACCAGGAATTAATGAGACATTAACTTACTATCAATTCCTTGAATAATAAGAATCTCATATTTGAGTTGTTGCCAGATGAAAGACACATACCGAATACTTTTGACAATTTCAAATTGTCATCTTCAGGGTGCAATTTTTTTATATATAGGCAAATACTAAGACGAAGTATGCATAGGCCAAAGTATTTTTTTTTTTTTTAAATTATACTGTTTATTATATGTTTTGGAGTGTGCGATGCTAGAATTCTTGTTCAAATTGATCAAGTGAGAATTTTGTTTGAATTTTGAAAAGTTAGAAATCCACAAAATTTTATTGTTATATGTATTTATCTGTTAAAGTGAAATGGACTTAGTATAATCCAATTAGTAGAATAAAAATGTCTTAGCATTATTCAAGGAATTAATAGTAAGTTAATGTCTCATTAAGTCCTATTAGTGAAGTGATTTCACTATTAATCACATTAACATTGCTATTTAATTCTTTGTATAAATTGTTTCATTATTTTCATATATATATAAGCACTTAATGGATTTTTAAATCTCTGATATTATTTGTTATTGCTATAAATGTTATAGAATAGATAGCCATGTTTATTTTTAAACAGTGAAATTAATATCTATCAGCCTAGAGATCAGGCTAATATATTTACTATGATTACTTTGGATGTATGACCTTTATAAGGATGAAAAGATTGTTGTTCTTTAAAATCAGCATTCAAAATCCTGACATTTTACCTGAACCTAAACACTAATTACTGATACTGGTGTAAAATAAACAACGAGCTCAATGACTCAGAAGTCCCATTGTGCCTATATATTCACATATAAAATTACTGTGGGAATGTAGAGTAGCTTAGTATACAGCACAAAAAAGAATTGAAACTTGCTTAGGTTCATTTATACTAATGACCTTGAGAAGGACACTGACATATCATTTATTGTCACTGGCTTGCTATAAAAAGAGTGGGTGAGAATTTGATCATATCATTTTCTTTCTTGTACAAGCAAAAGCAGCAAAAAACTGTTATACACATGATTAACCTTAACAGTGGTTTTTATTGCAGTATTACAATAAAAATAGACAGTCCATGTTTAGGAAATAAATATTAGGGTCTTTTGAAAGTAATTCTATTTTACTAGAAAGGATATAAAAACAAATTTAAGTTAAATTTATTTAAATATCATATATAAAAATGTAAGCACCTTCATTTTCAATAAATGCAGCCCAGCAGGAAGGCAAATTTTCGATTCCACACTTAGAGAAATCTGGGTTTTAACCCTTACCAAAAGTTTGAAAGACAATTTTCAACCTCTTCTTTGTTTCTGAATGTTCTGCCTCATAAGAAATGTTTTATCAATTGAAATAAATGGAAATCTGTACAATATTATCTGTAAGCTATAAACTTCAGTGGTCAATTTTGTTGTTACCCTGTGTAATAGTTTAATATTATAAATTTTAAAATATTTAAAATATTATTCATAAAGAAATTTAAACATGTTTATGAACTAATAAATTTAACATTTTTTTTCTTCTTTGATTTTACAGATTTTTTCCGTGGCCCTGTGATAGATACAGTTCGGTTAACTGGCTTAGAGCATGTCCTCCAGTTTGTTGCCACAAATGGTAAAATTTACATCAGAAGTTACAGGTACTGTCATACAAGATTATTACTTTTATCAGTGTGCATATATCACAGTTGCTTATTTGGAGGGGAAAATGTTGAAATTTTTTTTTTTTTTTTGAACATGATTAATGTTTGTGTGATTCATTGAAGTATATATAATGTAACCATTGGATTATTATTATTTAAAAAAATTTTTTTTGTTAGAGCCATTCTTAAGAATTCTGGATGTCAAATTCCACGTGTTGAACTTGAAGATATTGGACCCTCTTTTGAATTGGTTATGAGACGTACAAAGTTAGCGTCAGATGATTTGTTCAAGAGAGCTTGTAAAGTTCCCAAAGAAGCTAAGGTATGTCGAACCAAAAATCTGTTTTACTATATCTTATATATTGTGTATATCAGTCAGCTTTTTACTGTTCACTACAGGACACAGGTTTTCCTTAAATCTCTTGGACCTGAGGAGTAATGTGTCTTACCTGCCACATTGTTAAATGATATGTTGACAGGAAGTTTGAATTCAGTTATCATCCTCTTAAACAGGATGTTTTCTCATGACAAAAGAGCCCAAGCTGCCCTCCTATATAACCCATTGCTGGGAAGAGAACAAATGGAGTCAGGTTAAGGGCATTAAAGTGGAGTGAATGTAATGACCTTGGCTGTAATTTGAACTCTGCTCATTCTATTGCCTACATTGATGTTAATGTTACCCTTGCGTGCACACACACATATACACACACAGCTGTGCTACTGGTGGGAAAAAAATGTATATTTATTAATATATAATTTTGCATCAAGCACTATTTTATTAACACCAGCAATCAATGTGCAATATATCTGAAGGTAACATCAATCAGCTAAGTGACAAACCTTTTTTTTACTTGTATTAATTTTATATATATATATATATATATATATAAAGAAATTATCTGAATTTCATTTTGGAAGAAAATTGCAAGAAATATGGTTCAAGCTTTCAACTTAAGTTATCTTCAGGGTAGGAGACAATTGGTGAGTGTTGTGACATAGGCAATTATAATTCAAAACATCCTCAAATATATATGTTGCTGGAGTGCCCGGAATTAATAGTAGTAATGTTAAGCCCCAAACCATACCTGGCTCTATTTATTTATTTTTTTCTTTCCAGATCAAGAAAACCAAAAACATTGCTCATGATCCATTCCGTAATAAGACTGGTCGTATTCACATGGAACGACAAGACTACAGCAAGCTTCAAACTCGAAAGGTGAAGGCTTTTAAGTCTTTAAAGAAAGAAAAGGCTGAGGCAGACAAATGAAAGATTATTGCTTTGAGATTATAAACTCATGTAAATAAAGCTTTGTATATTGTTTTTTGTCTGTCTTAATTTGTTTATCTGTTTTTGTTTTATGTCTGTGTTTTCATATTTTACTCAAATCTGCATATAAAATCACACATATATGCACAATTTCAATAGCTTTTGGCTGAAGCAAAATCACTCAATATAGTGTTATCAAACTACCATTGTATCTGTATTCTACATATGAGGCAATGTATAAATCACACTTTCAATTGTCTAGATTTCAAAAAGAAGTCAGGAAATTATGAAAGGAACAAAAAAAAAAATCAAGAACAAACTTTATTCTAGCTTGTACATTAGTCTAATGTGTTTAAGAAGTTAAAATAAGGGATTTTAGGAAATTATTAAAACTTCCAAGGTCATTTCTAAATGAATGACCTGATACCAATTGATGTTTTTTGGACAGATTTTTTTACAGAGCAAAAGTATCATATATGCTATTACTATGAATGCTTCCACTCATAAAAAATGCAATAATTTTTGTAGATTAGCATTCATTAGATCTTCCTCTCTCGACACTATTTTCAAAATTTGAAAAATATTGTTTTTCCTCATTTTGGAAGTGGGGGTCCAGTTCATGATATAAATAGTGTAAAATTGATCTTTGACTTTTTAAAGAGTTTACTTAGCTACAAACTTGACATTTGTAAATAAAAACAATGCCATTGATAACTGTTTACTACTGATATTGTTCTTTTTGCCAATTCATAGTATACAGTTATGATATAAGCACAGTTTCAAAAGTTAATTTAAATTGTGCTAAGATTTCTTCTGCTGGATTCATTAGTGGCTACTTTCATAGGCTAAAACTAAACAAGATCTTAAGAAACAGGAAAATTTCATTGAAAGTGAGAATAAGTGTACTCAACTGTTATGTAATATTAATCCTATGTGATAGTGAATGCTGGACAGTTTCCTCACATGATGAGACAACAGAGATATGGTTCTGCAGAAGGATGCTGAGAATATATTTTATCTACAATTTTATTATTTACCTAGTACTATTTTATTAGAAACAAAGAAAAGAGTGCTGAACTGTTATGTAATATTAATCCTCTTGGATGGCAGTGAATGCTGGATAATTTTCTCACAGATGAAGAGGAGACTAGGCAACTGGTATGGTTGGACAGAATGATGCTGGAAATAATGTGAGCAAACAGGATTTTTTAAGGAAAATGGAAGTAAAGAACACTTGCTTGGGATCAGAAAGAGATAGTTGAAATTTCTGAGACGCAACTAGAAAAAAGGGCTTGGAGAATTTGACACTTATGGGATGCTGAAGAAAATATTTTGATAAACCCCAAAATTGTCCAGTATAACATGGATTCGTAATCCATCACTTAAGCAGCATTTATCTAAATATAAAATTCTGTGACACCCTCTAAAATAGCCATACATTGACCAGTCAAAACCAAATTTTGGGATGAACTGCAAACAGGTAAGAGGGTACAAAGTATGGTTGGTTTTACTTAGGTGCATAGCTTAATACAAATTTTCATTAAAATCTTTTAGAAAAATTAAGTTTTATTATTTAACATACAAAATACTCTCACTATTTTAAAAACAATTTAATGATTAAAATAAATATTTATTTAATAAAAATGCAATATTTAGTTTTTGCATATATTTCTTTAAGTTTTTATATATACAAGAACAAGAATCAAGTTTGCCCTGTGTTTGATAAAACTCTTCAAAAAGTTGGAATTTGGCTCCAAAAAGAAATATTTATGCATGGCCAGTTACATGCTCAAAAGTAAGAAATCCTAAAAATTTATTCTTCACTCTTAAAAAGTTAAAAAAAAGAAGAAATTTTCTTAAAAAATATTGTTTACTATAAAGTCCTATAAAATTAAAGAAATTATTAAACTGTGATGTAGGGTTTTTGTCAAAGTATTTTTCCAAACATATCAGCTTATTCAAATTTCATCAATTGGTTTGCGAAATTGAACAAAACGTAGAGTTTCTAAATCGACAAAAAATGTTACCAATAACTTCAATAATACTAAATACTGCGATGAATTCAACAGACATCATTGTATTGCAAAAAAAATTCTAGTAATATAAACTGTTGAACGGTGTCAAATCAATGAGACCAAGGTCTATGCATTATAATTAAACATGATAACAGGTAATGGTGGACTATGTAGCAACAATGCTGAAAAAGTATTGTTAATGTGTGTTTCATGCTGGATGTTGTTCTGCACCATATTGTGACTTCAGCAATAGACATAACAGATCAATTCCTGATCAAACCTGCTGTTAGCAAAGAATGAATCATCACTGGTATTTCAACAATGTTTAAATGATTTGCAATACCAATACTAACCATCTGTCACATCTTGATAGGCATTTAGCCCAAATGCCTGATTGTAATGTAGGTTGCTTCGAATGAGCCATTGTTGTGCTAACCATCACAGTTATAGATTCCCTAGGAAGACTGCTGGACTCCAATATTCTCACAAAATATCTTTTTGTGATAATTCATTCAAATTGATGCTTGACTGTGGGACACTTGGTTTACCATTTGAAATGGCTGAAATTAAATGATAGTTTATTTTACATGATGACTTTGACAGATTATTTTATGCTGCTTATAGGAAGGATTACTGATGGATTACTATAGTTTTCCTGAGAATAACAGATGGCTTAAAAGGAACTGGCCAGAAGGAACTGCAGAAGAAAAACAATTCCAACTAGTGATTGATGATGAGTTCCTATCTGTATTTTCCTATAGACTGGTTTGGAAGCTTTTTATGGAAAATCCTAAGGGTACATTAAAGTCTTGAGGTCAATTTCAGAAGGGAACAGAGATCTCTTTGTTCCAAATGATGAATTAAAACAAGAATTTCAATAATTACTTAAAAAATTTCTCTTATGCAAAAGAAGCACATTTAGGAAATATTAAATGCTGTAAATAATTTTTTCTGCTGGGATTTTTGATTGGCTAATGGGATGTTCAGATGATGTAAGAAGTGTAATGTTTGGTGATGATAAGAAAGAACTGAGCCAATAAGATTACAAAGTAGAAATGTGAATGCTAGACAAAAAAGATAGCCAATGAAATTTGTAATAGCAGGAAAAATGATCAATTGAAAAACAAATCAATAAAGAGGGTTCAAACTTTACTCATCTGGTTAAGAGACTCTTTGATTTAGGCAATTGGAGTTATTTTAGTAGAGTTAAGCATTTTTCACAGAATGGTCAATACAGTTGCAACTGAGTATGTGCTACCTGGCGACACTCATTGTCTTGAAAGACTTGCAAGACAAAATGTTTTTGCCATTACATGTTCTTCATCTTCATGAAGAATAATCACTTAGAAGTCAGCAACTAATGTTAGATTAAGAAGACATAGCATTTATTGTTGTAACTCTGAATAAATAGTTTTTCTTCATTTTGAAATCACTAGTTTTTCTTGTGTCACATAAAATTCATATGACTCAATTCAACAAACATGTTCAACCAACTACACCAAGAGACTTTTTCAGATCAAAATTACACTACATTGGTGGAAGAGAAAGACCAGACCAATGTGTAAGGGATGCATTGACATATACAAATAATACCCTTCTTCCCACTATAGCATTTATTCATTGTTTTCAACAGCTTATCCACTCTTTGTAGGTTATTTAAAGCCAGAAAATATTTTTAAGTTGTAAGAGTTTTTTTGGAGATAATGATTTAGTGATACAAGTTTTACTAATTAACCTATAGATGGGGGATAAAAGGTGAATTCATACTTTTCCCAAGGGTATTTGCACATAAGTGAATATAGTGAAACTAACGAGAAGTGGAACTTGATTCTCTCTGATTAAAAATTCCAAACCATTATCCATTACATCACCCACACATCTAAGCTTACAGCACCTGGTATTCCCAAGCAATCACCTATCCAGGTGCTGACTACACTTGACATTGTTTAACTTCAGTGATCATATGGGAACCAATGTTTCAACATGTTATGGCCATAAGTACCCACTATAGTAGATGTTTGTTTAATGTAAGGTGTCCATATGTGTACATATAAGCAAAGAAGAAAACCAGCTGAGTCTTTGTGGTTATTGTCACACTGGCATTTCATATACAAACATATTCATATTTCATATTGAGATTTACTAAGTGTACCTTACATGTGGCATAAGGCCACAAATATGGAGTACTCAGTGAGAATCAAACTCACTACATAATCATACTGAATCTAATCTAACAAGACAAGCTTGCTAACCATTACATCATGTCTAAGTGTCCAATATGTTGATATTTATCCACCTTCCCAAAGTGGTAGGAAAAAAAACATCAGTTTCGCATGAGCTACCATCATGTATACATAACTTCTAAAGGCAAAAATTGCAACATAAAGATGAATATATTATGTTTAAAAAAGGTGCATTTAGACAGCAAGAATTCTTTCAAACGTGTTTGGTTGAATTTGAATAATATTGACAAGTTCTAACTATCCAATTTTTTATTCACTTTTTCAAATTTCCAAATTAGTTGTTTTATATAATCAGTAAATTTACCAAAGATTTTTTTTCCAGCTTACTTTCGAATCTTGCTAAATTCATTTTCAAGAATTATGTTTTTTGTGTGTGTTTATTTAAATGCTTTTGGCTAATATATATATAAAATTAATGATAAAATGTGTGTAATAATGAAAATAATTCATCTGAGAATCTAAATAAAATACATTAATACTAATTTAACAGATGAAAAAGAATAGATCTGCAAAAACCTTATAATAATGTTATAATGAGCATATAGTTGTAAAAAAAGGAAAAAACAATGATTAAAGTATCAACAGTGTGTATTGACCAATTTTCAGAATATATAAATAGTTGTGTGAGAGGGTGAAAAAATTGTTGATATGTGGTTCTTTAGTTGCCGTTGTTAAGAGAAGCAATTAACTGTAAGGGTGGTGGATCAGATAACCGAGATGACTGTTGGTGTCAGGAGAGAGGCCTGGAGTGGATGAGTGAAGCCATGTGGTACTATGAGTGGTGTGTCATTGGCAGGCTTGATACATCTATCCTCATGGTGAGTTGGGGAGATGGGTTAGCGATCCTGTAAAGAGGTTGAGGTGTTGAGTATGCCTGCTGTCGGCAAGGTGTGTGTGTTTTTATATTTGGTTTAATAGCTGCAGGCTCCCAGGCTCATCCTTTTTTTTTTTTTTTTGGCAGTAATGTTCATGATTGGCTGTTGTATTTTAGATTTTGGCACAGGTTTGTTTTGTGGACCAGATATGATACTTGGAGGCCCTGCTCAGATTTGGGGTTTTGCTTTCTTAGTGCTCACATCTGGCTGACATGTCTAGTGAAATGTCAATGAGAAAGAGATCAAAGTAGCATAACAATAATAAGCCAGGCACAGATGAATTAATACTCTAAACAAATGATAGAATATATGTAATAATGATAAGTACTTAATCTCAGAAGTAACGACTAATGCTGCAAAGTACTAAATAATGCAATATAGAATAAAGTTAGAGAAAAAATCTATGAAAGAAATATTATATATAGATATGTGGCATATGAGTTTGCATCATGAACATTGTCGGTGTGCGTAGGTTGTAGGATAATCATTTTATCAGAAACTTTGGGAATGAAACGAATTAACTCAAGGGTTTAAAATAAATAATATAATTTTATTTACTTTCTTTAGAGCGATGAATGAGTCCTTTGGTATTCAGCATAGCAAAACGTTTGTTAATAAGGAAGATATTGGTGGCAGTCTGAAAAAATATCTGTTTGTGGTAGTAAAGTCAGACTATGATAGATGTAGTAATATCAGAAATTGGGTTAGTGTCAATCTACTGTGTTATTTTTGGCCCAGAAACGGTGGAAATATCAGTAGCTGATAGCCTCTTAACTGCTTCTTCACATGTCACACATGGCTGGTTTCATTCACAGTAGTGTTCTTTTGTTCCATCCTCTTCTGCTGTTGTTCTTGTCCCCTATGCTCTTCTATCAGGGGTGTCAGGTTTTTATACTTTTGACCAGATATAAGAATTTGATGCAAACCCCGAAAAGTCTTTTTGTGTCAATTTTTTGGATTTGATAAATTGTTTTATTTTCCAGTATTCCTTTTCATTTTTTTTAAAACAGAAGTTATGCATGGAACCTCATTGATTTTTGATATTTTCAGTCATAAATAAGTCAGCTCTGCTCCTGCAAACTTCCGGTGTTTTTGGCCAGGTTTAGTCTTTTCTTCTTCCACTTTTTATTTGAGGGTTGCTTTCTCATTGGTTGAGAGAATTATAGAAAAGAAGTTTAGAGAGAGAAAGAAAAGGATAAGAGTTTTAAAGAAAAGCACAAATGCCTTATTTTAATTTGAATTCTTTTTTTATTTTTGCCGATATATTTTATTTTTATCAGGACTTACTACAGATAAAAATTCTCACCTAATCACTTCTTTGGGGAGATGTTTCCTTTTCTTCTTTCTCCCCCAGCTAGTTGAAAGTTTTCTTAGCCTTGAGAAAGATTGTTTAAATTATGGAATGAAAGAATTTGCTGTTCAAAGAGTTGTATAAAGTACAGAAAACACTTAAATCCATTACAAGTACTGTTTAAATAGACAGAAAAGACTTTAGCATTGAAAAAGGCTTGTAGAGAATTCAGTTGGGAACTTTGATAATAAATGAATTCAACACATGGAGGATTTTTCATATTTATTTATAGGAAAACATAATGAATAAAGTGTGACGGACTCAGATAGCCCATACACACATATATTAATGTTAATTTCCGCCTGACAACAGAAGAGGTCACGTGGAAGTCATGAGACATTTGGGGAAAGCAAGTCAAGAGGTTGACTGAACCAATTCCCCGTAGCAACAGATGTCTAGACAGAAGCTAGACAGGGGACTGATGTAAGCCGGAATTCGCGCCAAAACGCAGGACACCTGAGAGTTAGAAAATTACTTTGGAGTCAGTTGCTGTCTTGTCTTTGAAGGAGCAAGACTCGAAATCGAAGCGCTGATAACTTATGAACGGAAAGATGAGACTCATTTGATAATGATGGAACTTGTCCGATTCATCCCAGGCAACTCCGGACAAGAAATATAAGAACATGTATTTCTGTTCCATAACCCCAAATTGAAGACGATAACATGTGTTATTTATCATAGACGACGCAAAGGAATTTGTACGCTGAGAATACAAACTGCGTTTGAAGAAAAGAGAAAACCAGAGAGGAAGAAAGTATATATTTCTGTTACAAGCTAAATTGTGTAAAGAAGAAAGAAAGAAGAAAACCAGAGAGAGGAAGAAAGTGTATATACCTGTTACAGTTGAATCGTGTTTGAAACTGAACTGTATACAGAAGAAGAAAGAAGGAAAGAAAAAAGAAAACCAGAGAGAGGAAGAAAGTGTATATCTCTGTTACAGCCGGACAGTGTGTGAATCGTATTTGTGTCAAGAAAAAAAAATGAAAGAAAAGAGGAAACGCGAAAGAGAAAAGAAAGGACAATGATAAAAAAGAGAACTGATTATAAAGATAAGTAATCATGTATTTTGGACCCTTATTAGAAAGATACACATGCATCCATAAATATTATGTTCTTACAAACACCTTTCCACATGTCAAAATAATAATATGTAACTCCTATCCCATCTCTTTTGGTTATGTGTTGATTTCTGCATTCGTAGTTATTCATACTTATATTTTTTTTATCCGTTCGGATTCAGTCGAATCCATGTGGATTTAGGCATATTTTGATATCCCAACATAAGTCTTGAGATCTGGTCGTCGGATGTTTTACTCATGCTTATATTTTCTTTTATTTTAATATTTTGTATATCTGTACATATTAAAGTCCTTATATCAAAATTCACTACGCCTTATCGTTCATCCTTGAATTGTGGATCAGTATTCGTGTTGAAACCGAAGCGAACCTGGGAAAAGATCACTGTTCGATTATCCTAATCGAACAGTGTTCTTTAAAATATTTTTTTTTGTTTACTAATTGTCCATTGTCATGATCTGAGAGAGATAGCCTGTATCTCTCCACAGGTGTGATAAAGTATATATCTTCTGGTCAGCATATGATCGCCTTATAAACCCATTCGTCGACTAGGGCATATGACAAAAGGAAAGAAAATATTTGTGGGATTAGCTGTGTATGCGTGTCTGATGTGCCACGTGGTTCAGCTGAATAAAAGGTTGGTTTGGGAAAAGTCTCCCCAGCACATCTTGTCACTACCGCATCTCTATTTATCACGCCACCTAGCAGACAATGTGGGGTAATCCCACAGGCTGTTTGAATTAGCAGGAAATATTTTTGAAATGATATTGATGAATGGATAGATTTATAGACTTGAAAGTGTGGATCTGAAATAGAAATGGAGCCTTAGATGGAAATTGACTCTGGATCACCCAGATGATGCTTTAAATGAATGCACTGAAACGATTCTATGAAACTGATTGGTCCCTAGCATTCATAGAGTGCCTCTAAATTAGAATATTTAGAACTAGACTGGCTTCTCCAAACACAAATATGTACAAAAGTATACTAAAAATTTAAATTAATTTTTCTGACCAATAATAAAATAAACACAAGTAGCCAATTAACTAAAAGCCGGATTAGACACGTTTTGTGCTGATCATTTCCTATAAAATAGTTTTGTATGAAAACATTTTAATATTCAGATAGCTGTCAAATACAGCACCACAGACCACAGATCTATTACTCATTAATATATTGACTTGCACAGTTTGAAAACATTTTCCTTAAGAATCCTTTCTAGCACTTTACTTTGCCAATATGAATCTATTGCGGGTTGTTCTGGTAATGCGTTGGCCGTATCCGAATGTACTTTTGAATGCAATTTTATTTGCGGTTTAACAAGAGAGCATCAACCCACAATGGAAATATATAAATTACAAAAAAATCATAAGCAAGATACAGCACAATAAGCATAGACAAATTGATAAAATGCTTTAGTAAATATTTCAGAGAAATGATGGTATATTTTA